CACCCCCGCCCACCCTGAAACCTTCTCTTACTTTTCTTCCCTTCTCGCTGTCTGGAAGGTAACAGTGCCGTGGGAAGCCACGGGCGCTGAAACTCTTCCCAGGATTTGGGTGTTCCGGGCCCTGCAAGCAAAAAGAAAGAAAACCAAGGAGCATTATTTTTCAAAATGTTTCTGATGAGAGGGGCACAGACAATGGTGACAATCACAATGGCCGGAGAGTGGAGACCAGAGAGTACTTCCCGAAGTGGGTGATGGGGCCCCCTGGAGGGCGGGTGCTGGAACAACGGGGTGGGGCCTACAAAACCAGCTAATCCAGGAGAAAGTGTCCGTCTCTGCTTTACCCTGGATCCTCAGGGATAAAGGGTAGGCATTGGATGTGACGTCTGCTTCCACTTTTGTTTTTAAAGGGCATTTGCTTATGTTCTTGTTCATGTTCCTGTGGATTAGGATATCCATCAGTGTGACAAAAAAAAAAAATCTTCCCCAAATATTAAACCATTATCATCCAATGCCCCTTTGAAGCTAGCAGTCTTCAGCCACCGAGTGGATGGAAACCAATGTGGAATGGAGCCAGAAGCAGGCATCCCAGTGAAGGCCCAGAATGCGCTCACAGGCCCCTTTGAGAAGCTCAAGGAAGAGATGAGTTCCTCCTGCTAACAATACATTCATGCTCACACACACACACACACACACACACACACACACGCACGCGCGCGGTGCCTGCAGTCGCTGGCCATCCACGACCTCCTCCGGGTCTGTGGGACTGTGTTTAAAGAAGACCCCTCCGTAAGATGAAGACAGTCAGTACCCATAACCCCACGCAGCCCCTGGCACGCCGCTCCCCCGGTGACCACGAAATCTGCTCTGGCTGAACAAATGAGCCAGTCAACGAGTGAGTGACAAAGCAGCCAGAGCACACAGTGTCCTTTTCCCTTATGATGGCTAATGGTTTCAAACAAGATTAAAATTGGTGTGAATTTTGTTGGGGGGGTGGGAGCCCTCGTCCATGGCTTTCTGTGATTGGGCAGATTGTACGGCGTGATCAGTCTCAGAGAAGGAAAGAGCTAGAAGGAGCAGCAGTGTCAGCTAGGCAGTTCTGATGTTCTCACTCTGATAACTCTGGGACAAAATGCACAATGATCTCAAGGCCTGGGCTGTTTCTAAGTCAAGCTCCCAGACTGAAGGGCCAAAGCCAAGGCCAGCCACAGTTCCTCTGTTCCTCTCCTCGTGGGCATTCTTGGGTTTGTGAGGTGTGGCCCTGCCCCCAGAGAGCTGTGTGCTGCAGGCCTGTCCCAGAAGAGGACGGCCGGGCCTCTGCGTTCTCAGCAGCGAGGGTAGAGCATGAAGGCTCACCTCATCACCAGGGCCCCAGTCCCCAAGGTCCCTGGAATCTCGGGGTACGGCAATAGGAGCGTCCTCCTACAGACCCTCCGTGGGGTCCTGCACAGTGACTGTGCTGATGGCTGTCCGCACACCCCTTGATGCAAACTTGGGGTTTCCTGGAGGAGCCGTGGCAGCTGCCAGGACAGCCTGTGGCACCTGGACTGTACACTGACTGCAGCCTGCTCCTAATTCTAAGGCCTGAGAAACGTTATCGTCTCTCGCAATGGGCTGCCTGGATGTTTGCCCATGGGAGGGTGTCCTCAAATACGAACCAAATCAGCAGCAGAGTCAATTTCGATTCATGGCACTCCCATATGTCTCAGAGATAGAATTGTCCTCCGTAGGGTTTTCAATGGCTGTGACCAGTCCTTTCTTCCGAGGCACGGCTGGTTGGGTTCAAGCCATGAATAAACCTTTTTCATAGGAGTCAAGTCTTTAATTATTTGGATCACTTTGGGAAACAAACGCCGCGGCTTCAAAAAGTTTGTGGGAAAACTCCATGATCTTTTCATTCCATTTTCTTATGAGCATTAGTTTGGTGGCTGTGGGGTGTGTGTGTGTGTGTGTGTGTGTGTGTGTGTGTAAATACTACTTTCCTGGATCACTGTTCAAAGGTATACTTCCTACCAATGCTACTGCTAGTTCTCCTGACTCCTATATTCACGTTCCTGTTGTCCCAGAAGCACTCCGGGTGTCTCTCCTGTCCCTACATCCAACTAAATATCTCCCTGTGCCCTGGTTCAGGTCCTATTACTTGAGCTTGCACTTGGCAGTGATCTCCTCATTGGTCCCCTCTCCTCTGATCACCCAGTCCTCTGGGGTCAGACTGGTCCTCCTAAAAGATGATCCTAATCACACACCCTCCTTGGTGCTAACTGAAGACCCAACAGCCCTTGCAGACTCCCCAGCTCCTCACGAGCAGAGGCCATGGCTCCTCCCTAGCATTGAAAGTTCTCCGCACCCGGGCCACAACCTTCCCTCGGTATCTCCATCATATCCATTTCTCCCCCTTTTCTTTTTCAGCATTCGAACTGTGGCGCCGGGGAAGAAGACGGAATGGACCCTGACTGGCAGAAGAATGAAATTGGGCTTAGAAGAAACCAAGCCAGAATGCTTCTTAGAAGTGGCTCTGGGGAGACGCAGGTTCACAGACGCTGGCCATGTCCCCAGGAAAGATCCATCGCTAGAAAAAGGCAGCATGGTAGGGGCTGCGGAAGTTGCAATGATGAGGGAGGCCCACAGGGAGATGGACTGACAGTGATGGGAATTATGGACTCAAACAGCAACAGCCATGAAGACGGTGCCGGCCTGGGCAATGTTGGGCTCTATGATGTTTAAGATGACAACAGGCCTGAAACGAACCTCTTCCTTGTGCCCCATAGCACCCCCACTTTCATCTGTCACTGCTGTGTCCTCCAACTACCACTGTTCTTCACATTTTCCCAGGGACAACATGCAAGTCCTCTGTGAACCATGACCGGTATGCTATTCAAGAAATGATAGCAACCAGGTATTACAACTCTGGTACTGTGCCTGGCACCCCCACTAAGCACATATACAACCCCTGCATATTGGGTTTTCAGGCTAGAGGAAGAAACAGGCTTAGAAAGGTCAGAGAGCATCAACATCACTGGCTGTCAGGGGGTCAACTGAGGCCTGCATTCCTGGTCCCTCAGACTTGGCGACCCTGTGTCTTCTACTCTATCTGCACGGCCACACTGGGAGTCACGATGCAACCCCAGGCACCAAAGGGTGGCACTCGAGACAGCACTCAAAGCCAAAGTCCAGCAGACTTGCCCGTGGAGCTGTTTGAGAAATGAAATACCTGGGCCCTACCACTAGGAGTCCTGGTGACGTGGTGGGTTCTGGGTTGGTTTTCTAACTGTTGTGTCAGTCATGAACCACCAGCTTCTCCGAGGGAGAAAATGAGGTTATCTGCTCCTGTAGAGTCATCCAGCCTCAGAAAACTCTTCAGGCATTCTATGAGTAGGATTCTGTTCCATGGCCATGCTTAGGGGTACGTGGGACCCTGCACCCTAGCCATTCCTCAATCTCTCTCTGGGTGCACGTTATTTTCTGCTCGAAGGCTTCATTCCACCATCTGTGTGTGAATTTGTGGTGGCTTGCATGTTATTTTGATGCTAGAAGCTATGCCACCAGGATTTCACACACCAGTAGGGTCACCCGTGGTGGCCAAGTTTCAGCAGAGCTTCCAGCCTAGAAAGAAAACCTGGCACGCCAAATCCCAAAATGAGTCGATGAAAATGCGCTGGCTCCTAACAGATGGGCTGGAATGGGTCAACAATCAAGGGACTCGAACAGGACACAGCAACGTTTTGTCCCATTGGACACGAGGTTGCCAGGCGTTAGAAGTGATGGGACAGCCGCTAATAGCAATAACGCAGCTTTGTTAATGATCCATCAAAGAACATCGTGACAACATCACAAACTTTTATGCAACACAAAATCAACCCGTGAAGTGAAGCTACTGATTCTCCACCTGTGCTCCTTCGAGGTCTTTGTACTTCCTTCTGAAAGGCCAGGTTTTCAGCTCGCTAGGCTGCCCCTGGGGAACTCTGCTTTCTTCCACTGATACCACGTCAACATGGCAGCTTGGTCACTCTCAAGGCACTCAAGCCACCTTCCTTTCAAAGGGACTTTGAGTTTGGGAGATCAAAAGATGTCTGGAGGGCCCAGATCAAGGCTGTAGGGTGGACGGAGGAAGGTTCCCCACTGAAATTCTTATAGGGCAAGTCCTTGAGAACTGAGCAGGCCTATTCCCAAGATACGTAAAGATTCCTCGGCACACCATTGTTCTCCTTTCTCTAACCAGTGCC